CTTTGGCTATGATTATTTTACTTTCTCAGCTTCCAAAACAACTTTGATGATGTCTTCCCCATCTGGTGCTTCAATACTTTTCCCACCCCTGCTTTTCTAACTTTGATAAGTTAAATTCCTATTGTATTCTTCAAAAATGCCATTTTTCTACAGAATATTACACCTTACCTACCTTTTCATCTACGGCTTCTAGTCACCCTTTTCCATACCCACTAAATTTAACACATTTAATACGCCCGTATTGTGAGTCACAACATCAACATCTTTTACTCAACAAAGGTTTCAAAGTCTGAAAATCTTTCTATATTGTCATAAATCACAAGAGAAAATCCTTTGGATTTTTCTCCAGTGTGAGTAATAAAGTCCCATGTTTAGGACTCTCACATCTAAGACCATCTCCTCATTTTATATAGTTTAAGAAAGCATCATCTTTATTCTCTTATTAAATAATACTTCTCAATTTATTCATTTGGATAGGATTCTTGTCTGCTCTTACCAAAAAAAAAAAAGCTACTTCCCTTTTAACAAAAAAAATTTCATCATCCTTTCTTACCTATTATAACATCACCTTTGATCTTCTCTTTATTCTATTTCTACTAGTTGAAATAAATTCAGCTCCCTTTATTTCTCTTTTATCCTCATTTCATTACTCTGCTAAAATTGCCATCATGCTCCCTAAATTCCTACAATCCCACCATTTCCATAAAAAGATAGCCCAACTAATTTACTCTAGCAAATTAAAATTCAGCTGAGACAAAACTGATTTTCATGTGGTTGAGGGAGGAGCTGCAACTACACAGTTTGAAAACTGCCCAGTCATGGTTCTACACCACCGACAAAGGTAGGCAATACTCTTCCTACAGGCAAGGTCACAAAGAATAACTACTATAACCCAAGTATACTCATTCAGCAATATCGACAGCATCCTGCCTGAGATGTCTATAAAAGCCAACAGTTCCACTGTTATCTTCCCTGAAAACATTCATACTCTCGTCTCCTCACAGCTGACTTTAAATATAGAATGACTAGCTAAAGGAGGAGAAAGAAATTCAGGCTGGTCAGAGTCTTCCTTTACACCACTCCCTATCTCAGTCTCAGACCTTCCTACCAGCCCTAAGACGATGAAGCAAGACTGTGAAAAGTCTGACTTCCAAACACCTTTAAGAGACTTCAAGAAGTCCTGGTTAAGCACTCAGTTGCTAACTTAAAGGTTAGCAATTCAAAGCCACCATCCGCAGGAGAAAAAGACCCAAAAGATTCCAAATTAACCAAACCCACTGCCATCCAACTCACAGTGGCCCTGTAAGACAGCAGGTAAAGTTTCAGATTGCCTTATTTCTCTCCCAAGAAGTGGTTTGAACACCTAGTCTTGCAGTTAGCGGCCCAACACTTAACCCATTAAAACACCAAGGCTCCTCCCCATAAAAATGATCACACAGGAAACCCTATGGGGTCAGATCTACTGTCTATAGGATCGATATAAATAAATCGCAATTGACTCAAGGGCATGTAACAGCATACAACAACACATCTCCTCCATTTTGCTTGATTAATTGTAGCTGGAATATATGTTCTTTAAATACTGTATTCATTCTTATTCTGTCCTCCCATCTTCAAAGAATTTAATTCATCTGAAGTTATCTACCATTGACTCTACAACCTAAAGATAAGTCAATTTATAAAATATAAAGTATATAAATAGCAGAGTCTTTCAAAGTAAAGTGAGTTTCCCGTTAAAAGTACAACCACTCTCCCAATCTGCTTTTCATCATACCTTTCTAGTAAACCGCTACCAATGTATCCTTAGCCATCTCTTCCTGTTACACAGATTCAACTTATTTGTGCAAAGCCATGAACATGTGAACTCCCTTTTAAATGTATCATCTTGAATTACCCACTGTGCACACACTTTAATTATAAACTACTTATCCTGGTACTCAAAACCATCTCAAAGAGGGTTACTTTATCAAACATGCTTTCCCCTACTACTCTGTCTAAATAAAACAGCACTTTATTTTACTTTACTTTTCTTCCTAATATTTGCCACAATCTGCTATGCAATACATTTATCTGTCCATATATGTACCAACTCCCTCCTTCTACTAGAATATACAAGATCCAGTCTGGTACTGTAGTAGTTACGAATCGGGCTGCGAACTGAAAGGTCAGCAGTTCGAAACTACCAGCTGTTCTGTGGGAGAAAGATGAGGCTTTCTGCTCCCGTAAAGATTTACAGCCTCAGAAACCCTGTATAGAGTCACTCTGTGTTGGAACGGACTCCACTGCACATAAGGAGTCCTGGTGTGGCGCTGTGGGTTAATGCGTCAGACTACAAAGCCATCTGAACTGCAAGGTCAGAGGTTCAAGCTCACCAGCTGCTCCTTGGAAACTCTATACAGGTTCGCTATCGGTCAGAATCAACTCGAAGGCACTTAACAACAACAATAAAAGTAGGTATTTTGTCACTTTTGTTCACTATTGTATCCTTAACACCTAAAGCATATTCAATGAAAGGACAGTTAAAGGCAGTCATGCAGTACAGCAAAGTTAATTTGGAGTTAGAAAGCCTATGTTTGAGTTCCAGAGCTCCCAAATAGCAGCTACATGTTCATCACCAATTTTTGGGCTTTCCTTTCATTTGTAAAAAGGAGGGCCAAGCTTGATAATCTTTTCCAGCATAAAGCACAACCTGTATTGCTATTCAACTGGACTAAGGATTTCCTAAACAACCTACGATGTCCTTCCATCTAGACTCCCCTCTTTTCAATCTATACCTGTCAGAATATTGTTTATCCTTCAAAGTCCATTTTAAAGGTGTCATTTTCTCTTTGAGGCTCCATTCACTGTAGGAGCAGGGTAAGGTTCTTACTTTTCTATTCTCAGCCTTTGGTACAATGTTTTCATACCACAGGTGATCAGCAAAATGTCTGATGAATTGTGAATGTATGGATGAGCAAAAGAACAAAGGATGTGTTTCTTGATTCCCTTAATTGCTCAGGTAATCTCTTGCCTTTGCACTATTATACGACTTAGTATCTTTTATGGTATTTACCATATTCTACTGTGTACTGTTATTTATTTACCTGTCTAATACATACTAGAGTGTAAATTCCATAAGAATAAGTATTGTCCTAATGGTTTTCAATTTCCCCACTAGCATCTACCACCCCAATAGCATTTACCACAGGATTTTTGTCACAGTTGCATTTTATTAAGTTTATCTGATATGTTAAATATTGAAGCAATATTTTGTTGTCGTTGTTGTTAAGTGCCTTGGAGTCAGTTCCTACTCATAGCTACCCTGTAGAGAGTTTGCTAGTGAGTCTGGTGTGTTTCAACTGGTGACTCTGCAGTTACCAGTTCAGTGCTTTCTCTGCAATGCCACACCAGGACTCTAGAGCAATAATAGAGGAGGAAAAAATTCACTATACAGGTATTATTCCAACTGCCCTATGGTTATTGGGCACACATATTGTCTGGGAAACTTTCGCACTCAACCATAGATAGAATTCCCTTCTCTCTATACTCTCATAAGTAAAACAGTCACCTTCAGATATCACTACATATCTCCCCCTTGCAATGTACATACAGGGATCCACTCACACAGCAATACTTTCACTTCACTAAACAGAAGTACCTGGAGAACTGCTTCCTTAAACATTACAGCCACGAAAACCCTATCTCAGTCTGAAGGAAATCACTATGAACAGAAACTGACTGCGGAGCACCTAACAACAAACAACTAAAGTGGCAGTTCTACCCGTGTCAGACATCTACCTCATCAAATTCTTCCCTCTACAAGATATCAAGGAGTCCTGTGTGGCGCTATAGGACTGCTAACGGAAAGGTCAGAAGTTCAAACCCACCAGCCACTCCTTGGAAACCTTATACAGGATCTCTATGAACCGAAATCGACTCAACAGCACTTAACAACAAGGTATGAAACCACTTTTCTAAAAAAAAAAAAAAAAAATCTCCCCGTAAGACCTGCCTTTCTTAGTTCTGCTCCGCAAAAAAAAAAGAGACACATTTTTAAGGTCTCCGTTCCTCTTTTCTAAGCAGTAATCCCAGGCTTTAGCAACCTTTTTCTCCACCATCAGAAATGTCCACTGTTTTCCTATACCTCCAGCTCTTATACTGTTGCTTGAAACCTTTCTGGCTGCACAACTGCTGGTGCCTCTCCATTCAATACGTTCTGGCCACTATATACTAACTTCTAATGTTTCTGTATATTTCTCTTCCTAAAATTGTGCCAACTGCCAGTCTCCTCCTTACCTAGACACGTACTCTGTACCCATGCGTCACTCTACCTCCGAAATACAAGTTCCTTACACCACACTTAGAGAAGGAAGGCACACGAGCCTCAGAATGGTATCTTCCGACTACACTGATTTCGAACTCAGTATCTGATGAGGAACCCAACCAAGTCCAAACTGCCTTTCTTTCACACGCTCCCATCCCATCTCCCCCGCCAAGTAACCCGAGCTGACATTATTCCTCCGTATCCCCAAGCCGCGAACAGCAAGTTCCAGCTTCCTGAGGCCTTCCTCTCCTCCCTGCCCCCTCCCGCCCCAGGTGTGCAGACTTCCAGCCGGTCCTCTCCTCCAGTCAATCCCACTGTACACGACGTCTCCTCCGCCACCACCATCAGACCCCTTTCTCCAGAAGCGACTCGGGGTCGCCGCCACCTCCCGGGCGCCTTTCCCCCACCCCTCCCCAGCAAGCCAGGGCGCACATTCTCACGCTCCCCCAATCTCTTTCCGCACCGCCAGCTTCGCTGGAGTTCAGCCAGGCCGTGGGGGCCCATCACCCATACAAGCAAGTGTATACCCGCTCGACCCCATCCCGCGGATCCTCCCGCGGCCCCCGCCTCCCTGCCGGGTCAGGGGAAGACGCTGCAACACCCCCGCCACCTCAGATATACCACCTCTATGTATGTTGCTCCAAGCACCAAGCCTCGGTCAGCTCCCGGTAAGTAAGGGGCCAGCCTCGGCACTCACCGGAGATACTGCGCGCTCTGCAGGCTCATCCTCCGCCGCCTCGTCTTCCCGCGAAGCGTCCGTGGGTCTCTCAGGCTCCTCGGAGCGGCCCCGCGGCACCGCGGGTGCTGGCGGCCGCCGCCATCTTCCTCTCCTCCGGCTCCTCCTCGCCCGGCGGGGGGGTGGGGGGGTGAGTGAGGCGAAGGGGAGGGAGCGGGGAAAGCTGCTCTCGCTGCTGCTCCGACCCGTGGGGCGCTGGGACACTCCGACCCGGGAGGGGGGAGGGGAAGGGCGAAGGAAAGGGGGCGGGGGGTAAAGGAGTGAGAAGCCGAGGGAGGAAGTAGGAGTCCCTCTCGCGAGAATTCAGCGACGCCGCTCCCACCGTGTGATTTCCGCCTCTCTGGAGCGCTCCTTCTTAGGGTCAGCGAGTTGTGTGGTGTTTGCGTTTGTGTGGCTGCTGCTGAGCGGCTGGCTGGTGACGTTTGGCTGCTTACTGCCAATCCACCCCTTTCCTCCTACGCCAGGGGGCAACCCCAGCCTCACCGGGAACATAGAGCACAAATCAGCCGGGAGTTACACTCAAAGTCTTCCCCTGTCTTTCACTCTACCCAACTTCTCTCTTCCTTTTTCCATCCCCCACTTCTTCCCACCGGAAACGCCGCCTCTTCCTCCTACGGTTCCGCCCGCCAGCCCCTTGTCTCCGGTCTTCCCTCGCGCGCTAAAAAGTGACGTGAGGGCCCCCTCCGTTTCTCCGTGGCCCCTCCCCTCTGCACTCATAGAGACTGCTGGGCGGGGGTTAAGGAAAGGAGAAGAGAAAGGAAAACAATCGGATTGGCTAAACAGCTGCCATGGCAACTGAAGGTTGTGGTTGTATTGTCATAGTAACCTGTGTGTGCTGATTGGGTTACCCTCTCTGTAGCGAATGGCTTCCTGGGAAAACGCTCTGTGTTTCCCCCTAGCTTTCCCCTCTATTTAAAAGTCTCCCCCAGGTTGGAAATCAAGAGTAGTACTCCCAGGCTGATAAGTCTATTTCCTCCTCCCTTTCCGCAGCGTTGTAGGGGGTAGACGGGAGGACTCTGCGGTATTTACCTTGGGTTTTCCTACCCACTCTTGGACAGGCCACCTTCATAGTTTCCTCTCAGCGCTGGGCATGAAGAGGGCCACATGAAGATGCAAGGTGGGAAGGATGGCGGGCTGGAGAGTAGAGAACGAGGAGGGGACTCTAGGAGGCGGAAAAGGGCTAGGGGTTTCCCTGCAACTGCCTCAGGCTTTAGGAGGCGGGATGCCTCCAGGACGGGGTCCCTGAGGGAGGAGAACGTGCTGGCACACACAGCCAAGATGCAATTCCACTCCAGCCCACCGAAGCAATTGACGTTCCCCAGAGAGTGGACCTCTGCCCGAAATGCACTCCTCCATCTTGGCGACCTAGCCTCTTCAGGGTTCTCCACGCTGCTTTCCAGAGCCACCTCCTACTGCTGAGAGGCCAGACTGAGAGTAGGAACACATCCTAGGTCAGCAAGTTGTTTTCAAGCATGTTGAGCTGGGGGATGTGGTGAGGCTGACGATAACCTCCCTTCTTTGAGGGACACCCCCACCCTCACCCCCAGTAGCAGTCCCACTAGATGAACCCAGGCTGACTTCCCAGCTCCTCAACCCTCCGCGAGCTTCCTCCTTTCACCGAGTCTGCTCTCATTTAGAACTTGTCACTGTTTTTCTTGGTTTAGAGAAGAAAGTATTGGGTAAAATAGTATCTAGAGTAATCTAGATAAAAGCGCGAAGTTCCAATGAAAGGCATCTAGGAAAAGGATTTTCAATCATACAACAAATACTTTTTTTTAATGTTATGTATATTTTGTCAGGTTTATAGCTTAAAAATAAATGATTGGGTCAATCCAAAGATGTAGTGTATGAAAATTTGTTGGGAGAAGTTGTTTAATGATTAAAGAACTATTTGACATTTAACAAATTCTGGTTTGGATTCATAGTATTTTAAGCAGTAATCTAAAAGTACTTTAGGTTCTATTAATGTATAAAATTTTCCAGAAATGTAGTTCTCATTGGATTTTAATGGACTATTTTGGCTTGGATACCTGTTTGCTGCTGTCTTCCATGCTAGCTGAAGAGACCCTTTTAAAGATCCTAACCTTAAATTTCACTTATTTAAAAATTGGGCCAATGTTTACTTGTTGTGAAGTGCCATTGAGTCAGTTTCCTCGGAGTGACGGGTGGGTTTGAACCACTGACCTTGAAGCTAGCAGTCCAGTGCTTATCCTATAGCGCCACACCAGGACTCCATCATATATGTTTGGAGGAAAGCACAACCTACTTTAAAATAAATCCTTAAGACTGATTTTCATTAACAAGATAAAAACAACTGTGCCCCTGTGAGGCATGCGCCTAGTATGACGCAACATAAGGCGCAGAATTGGCCCGTCTCTGTCATGTCTGACGATGCGCCGCCCACTCGTGAAGGAGGGCCACCTAGTGAGAAATTGTTCAGATCTCTGGTACGTTGTTAAGTGCCGCAGTATTGATTCTGACTCACAGATGACTGTATAGGGTTTCCAAGGAGCAGCTGGTGAAATCACCAACCTCGCAATTAAAACTGATCTTACTGTCCAGTACATTATCTTACAGCAACACAGCTATTTGTTATTGTTACGTGCCATTTGAGTCGGCTCCGACCTATAGCAACCCTGTATAGGGTTTCCGAGGAGTGACTGCTGAGCTTGAACCACTGACCTCGTGATTCAAACCGAACTTGCAGTCCAGCGCATTAGCCCTGAGAACCCAAGGATGGAAGTGTCATCAAATAACCCAGTATTTCTTTGTTGAAATTTACTGGTTAGAGTTTTTATATATTTTAACTTATAAAATATGCTGTAAATAATTACCGTATTACTAATCCATAGGAGGAGTGCTGGGGCGGCACTGTGGTTAATGCACCTGACTGCAAAGCCATTTTAACTGCAAGGTCGGTGGTTCAAGCTCACTAGCTGCTCCTCAGAAACCCTATACAGGGTCACTATGGGTCGGAACCAACAGGATGGCACTTAACAACAACAACAATCCATAGGAGTCCTGATGTGGCGCTGCAGGATGATAAGCACTGGACTACTAACCTCAAGGTCAGTGGTTTAAACCCATCAACTGCTCCTGGGAAGCAGGGTTGGTATGAGTGGGAACAGACTTGACAGCACCTAACAGCAATAACACATGATCATAATATCTTTTATATCTGTGGCACATATCTCCAGTAAAGAGTATGTGAAAGGGATTCAAAACCTTCATGGAGAAATTCCCTTATCTTTTCATTCCATTTTTCTACACTTTGAAGCCATCATTATGTGTGGATATCATAACACAATTACTGTCTTCTCACTTTGAACTAGGGAAACTGACATCAGAAAAATGAATCTTTTGTTGTGGTTTGCTGGTTTTTTCAGTAAATACTTATGTAGCACTTAAATCTCAGATGCTGTGTAGGTTATTGTGGATACAATTATAAAAGAGACACAACCTTTGTCTTGGAAGTACCCACCTCTGGTAGAGCTATCTGAAAGTTGAGGTGAACAGGATGCAGTATGATGGCTGCAATAACTGATGTTAAGAACAAAGTAATGGACAGAGGCAGGAGGAAGGCAATGGGAGACACAGGGAGAAGTGTGAGAGGTAAAGTGAATAGAGGTAAATATTGTTAACCGCAGTGACGTGGAGGGGATTGCAACCATACATAGAAGCAAAGTGTATAGTTTAATGTAAAACTGATGATCTGCTCTGTAAACTTTCACTCAGTTCACAATAAAAGATGTTTTTCAATAGAAGTTAGAAAAATTGTGATCTGGAATTTACATATTGTATATATATATACATTTCCCAATATCTCTTTTAACTGCCCTCTACCATCAACAAAAACAAGCATCAACCTGTAATATATTTTATTCTTTATTTTCCTTGTATATATGGATTCCATTTAAATCAAAAGATTAAACAGCAGAAATGGCCTCATTTCCTTTAGTCATGATTTTAGTTTGTGCCTATTTTTGACTAAATTATCATGGAAAGAGTATAAACTAACAGAGTATTTGTTTTAACTCTGTTATCTCGGTCTCCAATGTTCAGTTTCCTTTTTAATCAAAATGAAAACATTTTCTGTGAGCTTTAATGATACCATAGATGTAGCTGAGAGGTATGGCACTGTGGGCTAATGTGCTGGACTGCAAAGTTGGTTTGAACTGCAAGGTTGGCAGTTCAAGCTTACTAGCTGCTCCTCGGAATCCCTATGTAGGGTTGCTATGAGTCAGAACCAGCTCAACAGCACTTAACAACAGCAACAATTTACATCAATTTTGTTGTTGTTGAATGCTGTCGAGTCAGTTTAACAACACACTTGTTGTTGTTGTTGTTATGTGCCATGGAGTCGGTTCTGACTCATAGTGACCCTACTCATAGATTTCCGAGGCTGTAAATCTTTATGGGAGCAGAAAGCCTCATCTTTCTCCCAGAACAGCTGGTAGTTTCGAACTGCTGACCCTAAGGTTTGCAGCCCGATTTGTAACCACTATGCTACCAGAGATCCTTAACAACAGCACTTGATAAATGTTGATTTAATTTCTATCCTTATATTTTTTTTGCCAAGCTAAAATGAGTAATTTAGAACTATGGGAGCATAAAATTATTTTTAAAATACTATTTTATCTAGTCTTTCTGTAATATAGATAGTTCTGACTACACACACAAATCTATTCTCATTACATGATGGAAGATAGATTTCTTTATCCGTGAGTGTGATTACAGGAAAGAATATACTATCAGGACTTTGTGAGTCACAGTGCAGAGGTTTGAAACTTTTCAAAAACCCTCGGTCACTAAAAACAAGCCTACTATAACCTCATTTCTGCCCAAATTAACAGAGTGGCTAATTTATAACCAAATACCAAGTGCTTGCTAGGAAGTTATTTTTAACATTCCTATCAAATGTATCCAAGGCTTCAGTAACCCAACAATTCATACCCAGCAAGCCTCCTCCCTTTTTATAATAATAAGCACCTCACCTATTCCCTGAAGCCTTAACAAGCCCTAATTTACTACTTAGCCTACATATTCTGCATGTTTCCAAATCATGTGCATAATTAGTAAGCAATTAATAAACGTATTTCTGTTTT